ACTGAGCTGTTCGTGCCAACTGTTGCCACTGTTATACACTTTCAACGCAGCACGATCACTATCCGTTAACGGTAGTGAATATTGACATGTTTTCTCAATTCTCTGATCTTAGATTTGCATTAAAAGAATGCATTTTTTGGCTAGAAATGCCATACATTTTAAATTAATTAGTTTTGTAATAGAAGCACGCTTATAAAATGCTTCCGGTTCTTTGTAACAGGCAGAAATGCCTTTTTGGGCAACATAATTCCCATAAAACACATATACAATATTTTCCTGAGCTTCAGCGCTGCGCCCATCGTGAAAGTCTTACATAATTATTTAGAAAGCCGCTTAGAGTGGAGTTAAAATAAAACGGTAGTCACACGGAAATGAAAACTGAAGGAAACTGTGAAAACTGTGAAAACCACTATGTTACAAACCCTTTTCTTTATGAAATACATACACAGTTATTCTAATTAGCATTTGACCCGGTAGCAAGCTGAGGTCTGCCGCTTTAACTCAGACTTCATCTTTATTTTAAGACATGTTACCTTTGCATTGTCTGTTAACTTTTGAGTGGCGAAATTGTGAATTGAAAGCTCCAGATATCATTATGTAGCTTTGCACATGACTTAAAAGTTGAAAATACGCTCAAAAGCGCTTTTTGTGGTAGAGTCTTGTAGTAGTGATACTCGTATAAAAATGAAGGCAATATCAAAATCTGACTTAGAAGCTTCAAAAAAACCATTTTTGTGAGGATTTTTTTTAGGAGGGAAACAAAATAAGTGATTGAAACAATATTTCTAGGGTTTATAGTTTTATATTTAAACATCATTCACAAATTTTTTGGATACGAAATCTTTGATATTCTGCCTTTTGGGAAGCAATTGCCAGCAGGGCAGGATGCAGGTCGCTGTTTCTATCGGCAACAAAAAATTCAAAAAGATTCATAATTTTTAATAATTTATCTTCTAGTTAAACTAAAAAAAATCAAAAAAAAAAAAGTGTGAAAGTTAAGAATTTTTTTTAAATTAGAAAAAAATGATTTTTGACCAAAAAAAATTTACTTTATGTTGTTTAAAAATAAGTTCAAACTTGACATTTCGTGCTTTTTTTTAGTTTAAATAGAAGATAATTTAATTCAAAAGATAACTACATTGCCGAAATTCCATACAACATTTTTTTTTTTTTCTTGCCCGCCAATTAAGAAAATTCGCAAAAATGAAAAATCGAGAATCGCGCGTCAAAGTTTTCGCTTTCTGCCCAAGCGCTAATACATACATACATCTGCTAGATGCTCGGTCATTATTTCCCTTTAAGTTTCGAAACTGTTTCGAATTCCCATCTGAAACTTTGGGAACGTATTTTTAGATTATTTTGGAGATTTAAGCAAAAAAATTTATGTTTTGAAGCTTCTAAATCAGGCTCCCCCCTGAAAGCAAAGCCAAATCATTTATATTTAAAAGTATGCATAGCTAAAGCAATAAAGGTTGTTGAGCTGTACTAATTTTTCAATCGAAAGAGCTTAGGTAAATATATGGACTAATATTTAGTTGTTTGTACTATATTTCTCCAAGAGTGAAGTTAGGAATTAGATCGTGAACCACACCTCTATGACAATGGCTAGAGTTAAGGAAAATAGAGTTGGATAATCTAACTGGTACAGAATAATACACCGCTTGAAATTTATATTAATTGTTTTTGTAATTATGTTCACTGAGTTTATACATACAATTTAAAAAAGCTTTCAAAATCTTTAACGTGATTTGATCAGTCAGTTTGTATGTCAACTATTAGATGTAATAGTCCAATGTAAATAATATCTTTGAAGATCCTACCGTTGCTCTGCTAAATAATCTGTACAAAACTTTAATTTCAAATATCTGAAAAAATGAGGGTTCAGTTCGTATGCATACAGACAGCAGACAGTTGGAAATCGTTGAATTCTCTCATCTTGACAAGCTGACCTTTTATATATGTACTTGTAAGTGTATTTTACAGGGTATCTTTTTAGGTGGTGGACTTAATTAGCTCGTACACTTTACAGTTTATTATATTAAACGATTAATGCGGTGTTTCATTGAGTTCAATTCACGACGCAATTCTTATGAAACCTCGCTGATTCCCCAATAATTTAATATTGAACGTCAATGTGGCAATATCGAAATATCGACTTACATATATATGCAAATATTTCTAGAATATCTGGAAATATCGATATACTTAAGTATGTTCTAGAAAGTTGAGAATTTGGGGCAAAGTAGGAAAAACAGTGTTATCCACTTGGAAAGCAAGTCATTGTATCCGTATGTACATATCTGTAGTCGGCACACAGATGCGCCTTCTGTTATCGCACAAACGATCTCTTACTGTGCACCAGACATATCATAGTTATATCAATAATTTTTGCTTAATATATTGATTCCGGCCAAGAAACGCATTTCATTTGTACGAATGAAAAAGTCAAACAAAAGGATTACTTTAATATAGGATAGATGACGTCATATTTTTTATCTAAAGGCTGTATATCATTGATATCCCTAAGCATTAGGCCAACTAAATTACCATTGCCTTAAGTATTGTAAAGAATGTAAACTAATCCTTTGTAGCTTAAAATTCTAACTAAAACCCCACTTCCTCAACTGAAAATACGGCTCCACCAAGTTTCATCATGGATCCTCCAATTTAACTCAAGCCAGGACGGGCATCCACTCAGCTTACATAACATAATATGAAAACACAATTTTTAAGTCGAATTTTATTTATTTATTTTTGTAATATTTTATAAAGTATATTGCATTTTCCACACCACCATGAGGTATGCAACCAGGCACGTTATCGATTTTTTTGGGTGCTCGATTCCCCTAGAGGCCTATTTTCACCCGCATACTTTAAAACTATTTAATAAATTAGTGTTGTAATATCTGGAAGTCGAAATCTTTAAATATTAAACGAAACTTCCTAAAAATGTAGCAAAAGTTGAGCCTATCACAAAAAGATTCCAACACAGTAGCCTAACAAAAAATCTAAAAATCAGACATGCCTAGGCTAACATACAATCGCTACGAAGTTTGGCACTGAACAGGCATAACAATAACCCTTCTCGATATTTTGCCCGCCCCAGTTAATCCAATCAATTTTGGCTGAGACATCTTTTGCAATCAGATATCCTCCGGGTTCGATTTCTTCAATTTTCAGATAAGGGTTATTCACCCCCACGAACGTCACCATCGATAACAATAGTTTCGAAACTGATATGAAATTATTGTCGTTCCCTAGGTATAACTCGCGTTGCTCATTGTTAACATCGGGCAGAGTGGAAACACCCCAGGTACCAGTCCAGCAGATTAGGGTGCTATTACTCTCATGGCGAACTGACGGACGCCATTCTAGATGCGTGACCAGTTGATGCGTTACGGGCATTGAAGGACTCCCATTGTGGCACTACATTCAGTTGATGAAAAGTGCCCTTTTGTCGGCCACTGAAAATCAAGTCAGTTTTGGCAACCACGTGGCCACGGGACAGGAAATTTTTGGTTTTCACGTAAATCGAATCCTTTCGAAGTATATCGCTGAGTATTTGTTTGGCCTTTTTGTACAAAACGTCAATATTTCTACCACCAAAGAAATCCCCGGAAGTGAAGTTTTTTCGCGTCACATGTTGTTGGTGGTGAATACTTGCAGGGGTGTGTTCAACATAAATAGTTGTTTGGCGAATTTTGTCAAAGCAAACTTTCAGTGTTGGTAGTAATGACTCATTGAATTTATTGCCGAAATGGAGCCATAGGGTGCCTCCGCTGCAGCGAAGTCCCGTTCGCATTGGCGTTGGCGTTGACATGGTAGGGCAATTGATATTTCATTGGCGTGACATTGCGCCTGCAGAGTTTGTCCGTCGAACGGCTGCTTCGCCGCAGCGCAAACTCACCCACTGGCCATGGGGCACTACAATTTCACCACTTGAATTGGGTTGCATGTACGCAAGTTGATTGTGTGGCGAAAGAATTGGCGAATTGTTGAGCATATCGCCATTGACTTTGATGCCACAAGGTGAGCATGGTGCTTCGTCATATTTATCTAAACTTTTGATTATCGTTTCAACTGGTAAATTAAAGCTTGCTGAATCAAAATTATTTATCGGTCCATTTTTGATACCGTTAATTTGTCCATTAGTCCGATAATTGTTAAAGTTTGCTTCAGTTCAATTAAGCCAGATATATAAAAACCAAATAATCAATACAACTACAACTATTAATAGCGTCCATGTGACAGATGCTTGCAGTTTTCGTTGCATTTGATTACAATTCTTGTGTATATATTTAAAATTAGCAATAACTTTTTATGATTGATTACTTATAAATTTGACAATAACTTTATTTGGATTGACTAATTACTTTTTTCTTTCTCTTATTTATTATTTCCACAATCACTAGCTTATCACTCAGTGGTTCCCTGTTTATTAAAGCGCTTGCGAAGCGTTCTTCTATATAAAGTTTTTTTTAACTCACGATTACTCATAATTGAGAGTGATCGCTAATTTCGCAAAATATGTACTATTCTCTAATTCTCTCAGAATAATTCCAACAGCAGACAAATTTGTTGCACTCTTCTAGCAGCTACACCAATTGTGAATGTGTGGCATTGTGCTCAGCAGCATTGCAATTTTATTGTATTTGGAAAAACAAAAACATAATTTCGTACGTAAATGGTAATAAATGAAAACCAAATAAAGAAGGATAAAGTAAAATGCACTTTTGCATTGTAGTTCTTAGCATTAGCAGAATTTATTCGTACTCAACTTTAAAGTGGCGCTTACAAGTGTACTAAATTACTTTGCTAGGATTATCTTTGTGAAACTCTGACCAAATTATGGAAATTTTTCAAATCCAATAGTAATAACACATAGTCTTCATACAGACAGAAAAAACACTATAAATATTTCTTAGATCGGCATGTTCTGGCAGCACTGCATGGGAGAGTAAGTTGTGATAAGACACAGCGTATCTGTGTGTGGCTGTTTGAGTGGTTGCACTTCGAGTGCAAATGTTTAGTACAATCGAATGTTTTGAAGTTCTTTGGATATAATAAGGTTATTTACAGCTCTATTTTAAGATTTGTTTTCTACCAAAATATAGAAAAATTGAGGTATGTGCTGTCTTCGGAGTTGCCAAAAACAAGTGCCGCAATGGCTGACATGATTCCGGCCGAATGAGTTGCTGAAACAAAAAAGTTCAAAAAGGTTATTAAAGTTTAAGGTATTTCCAATACAATAACTTGAAAATATAGTATATGGTGAAATAATATTGAAAAAAAAAACTGTCGTTTTTTTAATGTTAACTTGACAAGTTTGAAACAATCAAAAAGATAGTAGGTCATTGTATAGTTAATATACTCAACAATACTCAGTTTTAATTAGAAGCTGAGCGGTAAATTTCTTGTTCAGTTATGATGTCAGCAATTGTGACGTTTAGAGAAAAAATATATATAATATTTACATATGTGTAACTGCGAGCGGCCGCTTTCAAGATACGACCTTGCCGGTTTCACATGATATTTTTGGAAATATAATATAAACTATCGAAAAAGCAAACAAAAAAATTTAAAATGTCACGCTGGTATAGATCCTTATATTTCTACAAAGGACTCTTAATTCATTGAAGTTAAAGTAAATATCTGAAAATTCGACAATATCTAAAATATATATGTACATTATAAGTAAAATAATATAATCATATTTCATTAATGTGTGGAATAATTTCCTTTCCCTTGGTAACTTTTGGATGCAGCAAAATCTCAGAAGTAGAAGTGTTATTTTCACACTTGAAATAACATAGCGGCCACACTAAAAAAATGATTAAGTGGAACCAACCAAACTAAATAACAAATCTGGTCAATGCGATGGCATTTTGTATTTCGCGAACAGCTGCCACATATGGCAACATTGACACATGTTCTAGAAAGTTCAGTTTGTAACAACTACTCGGCGCCAAAACTAAAATATGTGAGTATCTCGAAGTTTTTTTTCGCTATTGCATTAACTGCACGAAGTGCAACCACTCAAACACCCACACCCAATGACGGCACACAGATACGCTGTGTCTTATCACAACTTACTCTCCCATGCAGTGCTGCCAGAACATGCCAATCTAAGAAATTTTTATAATGGTTTTATGTCCGTATGAAAACTATGTGTTATTACTATTGGATGCCAAAGTTTATTTTAGAAGCTTTAGCCACCAAAGAAACTGCTCTAGGATCTACTCAAGTGCAGATCGTTCATATGTAATCTTTAACTTCTACATAATTAAGAAACACAATATCCACCGAAACAATATTTGAAAATTTTCAATAATTTGGTCAGGGTTTCACAAAGATAATCTACTAATTCTGCTAAGAACTACAATGTAAAAGTGCATTTGCCTTTATCCGTCCTTATTGGGGTTTTTTTTAATGAATTTTTAAAATTTTCTAAGCCTGTTAATGTACAAGTTACTTACGAAATTATCTTTCTATTTATTTAAACAGAGAAAGATGGCAATGCTGCTGAGCACAATGCCACGACATGCACAAATGGTGTAGCTTCTTGAAGAGCGCAACAAATTTGTCTGTAGTTGGAATTATTCTGAGAGAATGGGAGAATAGTACCTACCTGAGAAATCAGCGATCAAGTTCAAAGGAAAGGCTATATAAAGGAGAACGCTTCACTAGCACAACAAAAGGAAGGAAAACACTGAGTGTTAAGTTAGTGGTTGTGGAAATAATATATAAGAGAAGAAAAGTAATCAATCAATCAAAAATGCAAATATCTTCTTTATTTTGGGTGCTATTCATAATTGTAATATTTGTATTTATACTGATATTTATCCAGTGGACTAAATCATACTTTAACAATAATCCAACTAATGGACAAATTAACGGTATCACAAATGGACCGATAAATAGTTTTGATTCAGCAAGCTTTAATTTACCAGTTGAAACGATAATCAAGAGTTTAGATAAATATGACGAAGCACCATGTTCACCTTGTGGCATCAAAATCAATGGCGATATGCTCAACAATTCGCCAATTCTTTCGCCACACAATCAACTGGCGTACATGCAACCCAATTCAAGTGGTGAAATTGTAGTGCCCCATGGCCAGTGGGTGACTTTGCGCTGCGGTGAAGCATTCGCAAAACCGTTAGACGGACAAACTCTGCAGGCGCAATGTGCCGGCGATACAAATTTTCGTATAAACAATGAAATAGTAAATTTCTCAAATATCAATTGCACCACAATGTCAATGCCAACGCCAATGCGAACGGAAGTTTGCTGCAGCGGCAAAGACACCGAATTGATTAATATCGCCAATAAATTCAATGAGTCATTACTACCAACAATGCAGGTGTGTTTTGACAAAATTCGTCAAAGCACTCTTTACGTTGAACACACCATTACGCCTGCAAGTATTCACTACAAACATCATGTGAACACTAAAAACTTCACTTCCGGTGATTTCTTTGGTGGTAGAAACATTGACGCTTTTTACAGAAAGTCCAAACAAATTAAGGCACTCAGTCGTATACTTAGAAAGGATGCTTCGACTTACGTGACAACCAAAAATTTCCTGTCCCGTGGCCACTTGGTTGCAAAAACCGACTTGATATTCAGTGGCCAACAAAAGGGCACTTTTCATCATCTGAATGTAATGCCACAATGGGAGTCCTTCAATGCCGGTAACTGGTCGCGCATTGAGAATGGAGTGCGTCAGTTCGCTCATGACAATGGTAGTACCTTACTTTGCTGGACTGGTACCTGGGGTGTTTGCACTTTGCCAGACGTAAACAATATACAACAGGAGTTATACCTAGGGGACAACAATAATGTCCTACCGGTTCCAAAACTGTTTTACCGTATCGTTATCGATGCTGAGTCTCGAAACGGTATCACGTTCGTTGGGTTGAATAACCCTTATCTGAAAACTGAAGAACTGGAATCCGGAGGATATCTGATTGCAAAGGATATCTCACACAATATTGATTGGATTAAATGGGATAGGAAAAACATCGGTGAGGGTTATTGTTATGCTTGTTCAGTGACAGACTTCGTAGCAGTTGTGAAAGATTTGCCGCTGGTTAAGTTACAGACGTTCGGAATTTTGGGTGAGAAGGAATTGACCATCTAGCCCATTATCGCCTTTTTTTATATTATTATATTCTCAATAATATTTTGTTTTTAATACAAACTTATTGAAAAAATAAATACATTTTATTCTGTATTAAGTGCGTCTGCTGTCTTATTTGGAAATTATTTAACGGTAAGCCTAAGTTCTAATATTAATACAAGAATATTTTTGGCTAACAAAATGCGATGAGCGTCTCTCACCACAGCAAGCTCAGAAGGAGATATTTTGACAGTGGCGCGTGAATAGAGCTGAGCATTCAATGAAAATTATGCTCAGGATATAGTAATATTTTTATTTAATGTGCAAGTAAGAGTTACTTTTTAAATATTTCATATGTTCGATAATATATTATAAATTCACAAATCAGTATGTAGATATGCTATATACATATATGAATTATATACGTGACATACTATCATAATATCCTAAAAAACTTAATATATTACAATGAAGTTATTTGTAAATTATATATCATTATACCCTGAACAGGATATATCAAGTTTGGCACGAAGTTTGTAACACCAAGAAGGAAGCGTCGGAGACCCTATAAAGTATATGAGTCTACAAATGATCGTTATGTTGAGCTGAGTCGATTTAGCCATTTCCAACTGTCTGTCCGTTTGTATATATACGAACTAGTCCCTCAGTTTCGAAGATATCGTTTTGAAAGTTTGCAAACGTCATTTTCTCTTCAAGAAGTTGATGATTTGTCGAAACTGCTGACATTGGATATAGCTGTCATACAAACTGAACGATGGGAGTCAAGTGCTTGCATTGGAGACTTTTTCAACTAACGAGATACATTCTGCAAATACGTCGTGGTTTATTCTCTAAGGCCACGCTACAAAAGTTGAAGAAATTTGCAGGTTGGGTAACAAAACCTGGCATACAAAATGAAAAATGCTTATGTGACAAGAAGTGTTCATGAAGTTTAGCATGGATTATTGCACAAGACATCGCTTTAACCTTCAAAAAAAGAAAAGTAGTAAGGTATGACATGTTAAGAATACGTAACATAAGAATAAGGAGCAAAAATATATATTTTTTTATTTGCCATAATTCTTTCAAACACATATTTCACTACCTAATATATTATATACAATTTCCATGTCATAATGTTAGTTATGGTACTCCTCCGAGACGGTTTTACCGATTTTTATCAAATTTTATATGCGTATTCAGTAGGTCCGAGAATCGGCTACTATCTACTTCCCAAATTGGACAATTCCAAAAATCAACTTTTTTCCACAAATCTTTTTTTAAATATTTTTTTTTTTTTTTTGTTTTAGTTTTCAACATTTTGATGTGTAAATTATTGCAATCGTTCAATTTCGGTCGTTTGCTTTTTTATTCCAGGATGCGATGACATAAGTGTCAACATTAAGTGTCAATCATGCGGAAATTCCTGATACAGAGAAAGATCCAGTATTATACGAAGTGAAAAAAACCAATATTTTCCATGGACCTTGTGGACACCACGATCCCACTTCGGATCGTATATCTGACAATAAATACACGAAACACTATCCACGTGCTTTTCTTTCGGAAACACAAACTGGAAATGATGGATACACACTCTATCCGCGTCGCTCACCAGATAACAAAAGCAGAACATTCAGCATTAAATTTAGAGGTGTGAATATCGAAGTTGACAGCACATGTATCGTACTATATTCACCATTATTGCCTAATTACATTCAATACTCATACCAATGCTGAGTTTTGCCGTTTGGTGTAATCGATAGAATACCTTTGTAAGTACGTTACCAAAGGAAGCAACCTGGTGGTTTTTGGTCTTGAATGATACGGTGATACGTGAACTGCAATAAAGCGCTTTGTAGGATACTTCCTTTTGCAATTGATGAACGTTTCTCGATTGTTGTGCGTCCTGCAGTTAATTTGGAGACTGGCCAAAGAATATATTTCCGCAATTTTCGTTAGTGATCCGTTTGCGAGAACATTGCTCTATTTGGAAATACCTTAATATTATACATGGGATGCATCGTCGAAGAAATAGTTACGCAGAAAGCAAGGCCAACCAGACATTCGGGTGTGTTCTCAACTAAAGCATTAAGACGAATTTGTACAATCCACCCGAAACAGCGATTTCTTCTACACTCAACTGTTATTGGCAAATGTACGCGGTTCAACTTCATTTGAGTCATTGCGTACTGTGTGCAAGTTTTGGCGAAGCAAGCCAGCAATTACAATTGCTGGAACATGATAATCACTGGAATCAAACGATGGACGATGCGATAGCGACTTCGAATACAAATGAAGGTCGCACACTTTTCGTGATGATCAGCCTTCAAACCCGCGTGAATTATGGGAGACGAACAAAAATTACATTGCCGAAGACATTTTCATCGTATTCGCTAAGAATTGGAAATGGGTCAATTTCTGTTGATACTTCCGGTGGTTCGATATCAATTCCATCTTCCCTTTATCAATTTAGGAAAGATGAACTCATCACAAATGTTAGGACATTGGCCAAATGATCATAACTACGATTCCTTAAGTGCAGGCGCAATGTTAGCTGTCAAAAATACCGATGGTGTTGATTTAAACTGGAAGATTCAAAGTCAACTTCCTTGAGACTTGCGCTCATACAAATTGATCGATCGTCTTGATAATGAAGACGACGTCGTGAGTTATTAAGTGGAGCTTCTAAATTCTTTGGAGAGGCTTGGTATGCCACCGCATCATTTGCGTCTCAAAGTTGGATCTGTCGTTATTATGTTTCGGTATCTTCATGCGCCGAAACTATGTATTGGAATCCGACTGATTGTGACGCAGCTATCTAATACAAGGGGCATAATGCTTGATTCTACGAATTCCTTTGAGTTCTAGCGATTTATCATTTCAGTTCCAACGTATTCCGTTTCAGTGAAAATTGTATTTGAATTGACAATCAAGCGTGTGGCATAAATTTGGGAATGCTATGTTTTTCACACGGCCAGATATGTGTGGCGTGGTCACGAGTTGGAAAACCACCTTTTTTGTATACCGGAAGAGCACCAAAAAGATGTTTTTTATCAAGCTGCTTTACATTAAAAAAAAAAAAAAAATGTAATGTTAAATTCAACATTGTTTTCATTTCAAAACACATAATTTCACACAGGACAGCGGCTGCGGGGTCAGCTAGTAATTATATAAATGAATCTAATCAGCACTACTGAGACAAGTAATGGAGAAATTTGGGCTAGGAATTTCTCCATTAAAAAAAACTGCAGCACATCGGAAACAAATTTGTAAGCGGATCGAAAATATCGGCTATAGAAGCAGCTTATAATATTTTGGGACTGCATTTATGTGAAACCAGTAATGGGGAGATATTTATAAACACATCACATCCAAAAAAGCAAGAAAGGATGCTAAAGTCTGGGCATCAATTGGATGCTTTACAGGAAAATTCTACGGACATATATGTACCGAGTCTACTGGAACACTAGGAAGAGCTCATTTTTTAAGGGAAACTGAAACGGAGAAATGAGGAAATGACCGAGCTCTTAAAAAATGATGCAGAGACTGTTTGCAACGCACACAAGAAAAAAATCGAGCAGAATAAGCTCGAATATGACAAATTTTTATTAAATAAGCTTGAGCGGTTTCTGCAAAACCTGGATGTTTCAGCGGAAGAAGCAGCTGGTGAGAGAGGTGCCCCTCAACTTTTGGATCCCGAACCCAGAGCTCTAGCTGAGCAGAGCAAATAGGAGATGATAGTGTTTTTCACGAGGACAACAATAGTGTGGAAGAGGCGGTTCGATTAATTAAACTACCCCCTCTAAAATTAGAAAGCAAAGCAGTGCTTTCTTTGTACGTATTCCAATTAACGTGTTTGGTGACTTAAAAAGTTGCCATCAATTGGAGATCGATGGATATTTTTGCTGAATGGGTATGATCGTTATCGTGCAATTACAAGAGCCCCGGTTTGGGATCAATTTCGATACTTCGAGCTCGCCGAAATAATACGTCAGTGTGAAGATCAAGAATTTTCCATCGCTTTAAATAACATGTCGGAGGGAAATGGTACACACGCTGACATACAATTAATCAAAAGCATAGAAAAGACCTCTAACGAGATTCCCAATGAAGCCATCTATATATCCACAAGTTTATTTCAATGATAAATCTTCTTAAAATTTTAAATAACTGTAAACGTCTAAAATAAGCATTTTCTTTATTAAATAACGTTAATGTTTCTAGCAAACAACCTGGCTAAAAGAACTAGTAAAATGTTTTCTCTTGGATGAAAACCACTGTCCGGTTACGTCATAATATCATCGGTCATAAGTAATGTACTGTGCGGGCGCTGCTCTATATGTACATATGTACATATATGCATATGTGAGTATGACATTCCCTTACAATATATGTAGATACATTTCTGAATACACATGTAAGTACAATAAAGCTCGGATTTTCTACCAACTACACAATGTTGTGACGCTTCGCCGTCGCGTCAATTCTTCGCCACTCAAAATCAGCATTGACTACGCATAATTGATAACGGAAAACCAAACGCAAAACATAACGAAATATTTGGGCAGTACAGTACAACTCTGGTACAGCAGCACGAAATTAAATGCAGAGTTATTAGATTTTAAACAGCTTTAACTTAAAAAATGTTAGCATTTATTTGAAATGAAACTTTGTTCCAAAAATGTGTTCATAGCTGTATTTGTATACATTCATAAATATATGTATATGTATGTGTGCATGTAAAAAATATGACAGACCATAACGGGGCATCTCGACAGGATAAAATCTGTGTCCTACAAGCTGTCAAATCTATTGCTATTGCCATTGCCAAATCTGTATGTGGGCATTTGTTATCATAATGTAATCAGAGGCGTAGGGTAGGTAGGCTCCAGCTGATGTAGCGCATGTTTTGAGCTCTTGAAAATTTATTTTATCACATTCCGAAATGCCGTCGGGTACGTAGCTGATATAGCGCATGTCCATCTTTTATGTGGAAATAAAAAAATTATAAAGATTTGTTCTTTTGTTTACAGATGTACGAGTATTTCTGGCAAAAATGAGATAATAAGAAAAAGATAAAGTTTACAAATGTATTTCTGG